AGACTCCCTCATCATCCTGACTTAAGTTTTTTTCAAAAATACACAATTCTTTCTTCTTATTCTCTATCCACGTATATTAGTCTTGAATTGTGACCTGAAAGTTCTCCAGGCATATTCTTGCTCCCTCCCCCTTTTAGACAACATGGAAGCATCTTTCAGTGACCTGTATCTACTTCTCAGAGCACTAAAACAGATACACTTTGAGTAACTATATTTAACACAGAGGTTCATGACACACAGCTAAGACCAGGAAGTAACAGAGCTGGCATTTCAATCCAGGCAGAGTTACTTCAGATTTGTTTCTCTCTCTCTCTCTCTTGAAATTTATTTCTCACATACATGACAATAGTGGAATGCATTACATTCATAATTATCCATTCACAGCACAATTTTTCGTAGCTCTGTATATGAGTTGTTTCTCTTAACAATTACATTGTTTCAGGTTTCCATACTTAACACTCCCCCACCCCCCCACCCCCCACTATCCAGCAGGAGGAAGGGAAGCAGCATCCAGGTCACATTCACTCTCCATTGGCATAGAACCATTATGAATTTGAGAAGTGCAACAGGAAAAAAGACAAGTGTGTTCAATGGCAACACACCCATCCTAGCTACCACCTAGGGAATGATGTTATTATGATGGGCTACACTTGGCTCTCAGGCTTGAGGAGTCAGAAAGTTAGAGATTCAGGTGCTGAAGGAAATGTGCCCCACCGCCTGAGCTGGTAAAAACTGTAAATTGCTGATTACATATTCCTTAATGCAACACAAAGAACAACAGAGCTAGAAGAATCTCCTTTGGTTCTTTGCCAAATTACCTTCAGGTTCAGAAGTATCTTATGAAGGGCAATAATGTAGAACAGACCTATAGGTTCTGGCAGGAAGCTACATGGAAATTGAGTTCAAATCTCTGCTCTCTATTACTAGGGTGACACTATAACATTTAATTTCATGGACACTCACCTTTTATATTTGGATTCTACAGAAAATATAATTGTATTTTATGAATTTTAAAATATTAAGTGAGATAATATAAGTGAATATCTGTGATGCATGGTAGTAACTCCAAAATAAAGATTAATTTTTTTTGCAAGCATCCTTTTAATTTATATAATGTGCTTCAGTGTCCGCATGGACTGAAAAGACTATCAAGGACTGGTAAAGTCATGGCCAGTCAGCAGGTGAAATCTTACTCCAATTCTTGTTATCTGAAATGTGATGGATTAGTTGGTATTCATCTTACTTTCCTTGTCAGTATTCTTGACAGATGCGGTGACTCCTTATATTATTCAAGGAGAAAAATCAATTGCATTTCAACCTTTGAATGAGGTCACAATTGAGCACACAATTCCCCCCACCCTTGCTTCTTCTCTCTTTGTGACTTATTTATGGACAATAGAGATTCAAGACCTTCCTTTACTATTCTTCAAAAATGTCAAATTGTGCTCCATACATTCCTTAGGGTTTATTAAAGGGCTATGGGTGTGAGAGAGGCCAAACAGATGGTCCTGAGATCACTATCTCTATTTAAATTAGAAACTCTCCTCTTTTAAAGATTCTCTCTAAAGAATGGGCTGACAAAGAGACAAAGAGACAGGCAAGAGTGATTTCTATTATATCACTGCAAAACAAATCACCCCTGTAGCCTAAACGAACAATTATAATTACATCTTTTCTCAGGTTCCTGGGTCATAAAGTTGGAAAGACCTTGTTTGCATGGCTGCTTCTGGCTCAAGGTCTCAGGCAGGTGAGGTCAGATGGTGGCTCAAATTGGAGCAGCTGGGGGCTGGCAGGGCTTCTCTCTTCATTTAGCCATGGGAATTCTCCACATGGTGTCTCCACATGGACCAAATGGACTTGCCCAGGGAGGCAGCCTCAGGGCAGTGAATATATATATACAAGCAGATATTCGAATCTACTGATTATTCGTGTGTACTTCACTCATACACATAGACTTGTGCACCAGGACTGGAGCTCTAGCTCCTAAGGCTAAAGCACTATTGCCTTTTATTACCAAGCAACGTAAGTCATGAAGTATTACTTCCACCATGTTCTGTCAGTGAATGGCTAGTCACAGTCCCATTCAGAATCAAGAAGGAAGGTAAACTCTGCCTCTAAGAAAGGGACAAGGTTCTAGAAGAAACTGTGGCATTGCTATATCCTCTTTGGAAAATACAATCAGTTGAAGACATTTACAAGAATGGATATGTAACTATATATGCATAACCTATTGTATATTTATTTATATTACACACACACACACACACACACACACACATACACACACTCTACAGTGTTTCTCAAGGTAAGATCTGTGGATCCCTTTCAATAACAGAATCATCTCAGTGCTAGTTAAATTGTTTGGTATGTTACCCACCCTCAATGACATTTTGCATTTAATTTTCCTTAAGCAGTGATCAATACTAGTGTCACCCCAACAAGGTCTATGTCTGTAGGGCAATGAAAATTATTTCCAAGTGATCCTGGAAGCTCAAGCTGAACTGCCTAAACAATGGGATCAAGTCCCTCTCTTCCAGGGGAATATAAATGGAATTTTTCCCATCTCACTTCTCCTCCCCAAAAGGAGGAGTGATTCCCACAGAATCAGTGGATTTTCTCTCCCAACAAGAACAGCTGCAATTTCTCAAAAGTATAAAAGTCCTCATGTATTGGTCACCATTCATTAATACTAGACAATTTCTATAAACAACTGGCCCCCAAGTCCACAGTACCTGATATCTAAACAGTTTGTGTGTCCCCGTCACACTTAATCTCAACTCGAGAGATTTCTGGAGAGAATAATGCTGCCCTGGAACACACTAGATAGATAGACACACATCTAGTTTATCCTAAATCAGAACGCCTCTTGCTCTGATGACCATATTTCCTTCCACAGCATCCTTTAGAAAGCCCACTTATTTTCATTGTAGAGAATTATACACATTGAGGTTTATAATTTCAGATACTGGTTCTATACCAAGGACATATGTAAGAATGCTAAAATCACTCAAGATATGGGTATAAAATTGAAAAATGTTGGCTCACATGTTTGTCATCTTATTCACCTTGACAACTTGCAGTCACATTATGCCTAGATGTCTACTTAAAAACTGAATTGATTGTTCATTGAAAAATGATTGGTCTTTATATTAGAATTCTTTGCTTGTAGGTGCCTCAAATTTGACATGTTGACACGTCTACACATCAGAAATTATAAAATGGCTGCTCACAGGACATATGCAACTTGCAGTCATGTGTCTCTGGCTTGTATACTTTGAATTAATAGCTAGGATATAAAAATAGAATGATAGCTTAAAATTGGATTTCTAGCTTCTCTTGAAAAATCAAGAGCTGGCATCACAAGGCCTATGTTCCTTCTTGCCAGTGGGCAGATAATGGTGAGTGGTTGCTATTCCCTTTCCCCAGACAGTGACGAATCTGCTTTACTTATTTTATATAACTTCTTGCCCCTTACGGCATTGAGTTTGGGACACTTAGTAAATTTCACATCTCAAACATTCAGTTGATCAGATGATGAATGGTAATACAGTGTGTGTCATAAATGGCACATCTATCCATTGAAATACAGGGGAGCAATAGAAAACATCAGGAGAACAACTTAAGGTACAATCACCAAGAATAATAGTAGAGCCATTTGGTGGTGATCTCTCTGTCAACCTCAATACATACCTAGGATCTGGAAGGGAAACAAATAAGCATGAGAGTGTCCTCAAGATGCAATATCAAATTCATGCAGTTTACATATAGGCAAATACCCCAAACCCTCACTCAATGTTCAATACCCATGTACTCTTATTTTAGATCATACAAGTAGAAAGCTCAGAAAACACAACAAAGATTCTACAAATAATGCATAATCCTGTTACACAGAATATCATTTATGATATACTGTGGCATCTACTTGTCTTCAGGCATATACATGCAAAATAATATATAATCTTGGTACCATGGTGTATATGTACATGTGTAGATACTACAAATGATCTTTTATAACACTTATTTCAACTAATATATCCTTAATTTTCTCCATGTTAGTAAATTCTTTCTACATGTTTTTTAGTAACTGTACTATTCCACAATAAAAAGGTACTATTATGTATTTGACCTAGTTTTTTTCTATTTATTATTTGTTATCTATTTCTATTTATTATTAAAATTATTTTCATAAATGTTATTGAAAATAAATTTTCACTCTATATTCCTGATTATTTTCATGGTATAATGCATGAATATAAACACTGTCTATAAAGCATTGGAAGTAGGGATAGTGGGTTCAAATGTTACTCACATTTTTAAGATTGGGAACATAGGAAGATCTCCCCCAAATGTATCAATTTATATTACAATAAACAACATACATGATTTCCCATTGCTCCCCAAACTTTCTTACTCATACTAGATAATACTATTTTGCCATTTGGATTTCAGGCATTAAAAATAAAACAATAGCAAATAAACTAAAACTAAGAAGAAAGGAGACAGTGTCATTTAAGAAAGGGGAAACAACTTTATGATTGTGAATAAATTCTGAAATTGTCCCTGGGTACAGTGCAATGATGGATATTCATAACAATGATCACGAGTCACCAAGTAAAGGTTAATTAATGCTCAAATAACTCTGCTTTAAAAGGCATAAAGTGTTAGTGATAAGGTAAGTTGGTATAATCCTTTGGAAAAAAATAATCCTGACATATACTTAGAGCATTAAATATTATACCCTTTGACTCAGTAATTCCACTTTGGGGACTCTGTGTTAAATTAGTAATCCTTATATAGAAATGGTCCAGGGTTCATCAGTATTCACTAATAACATTATTTATAATAGCAACCAAGTAAAATAATATAACACAAAATATGAAAACTAAATATTTAATGAAAATAGAATACTTGCATAAATTATGATCTATCTATTTTGAGCTGTGATAAACAACTACTATGATAATTTTTATTTATAACTATAATTTAAAACACCAGAAAATGCTTACATGAAATTGTACAAACAATATAGTCATGACTATATTAAAACTAAATTATAAAGAAATTGATCAAAATTATTATATTAAAATATATCAAACATTAGTAATTGCCATCATCTTTGAGTATGAGAATCATAAATGATTGTATTCTTCTTATTTTCCCTGTATAACAATTTTTTTGTACTGATCATATATTATTTTCATAATGAACAGAACCAGCAAGCACTTAGTTTTTAAGGAGTATCTCCTTTTAAAAAAAATTTATATAAGGACTTTATTATACAAAGGTCTCTTTCTAAACATTTAGGCTGATACACATGATTTTCTGTTTTAAGTGGTAAGTTTTCATGGTCTCAGGAAATCCTTACCATCAAAGATCAACATGTTATTTATGAGTGATAATAGACAAGCAGCTGTTACTATTTATGGATTATCCCTAACTTCTACCTGCATTGATATATAGACTAGAAGATATTCTGGTGATATCATTAGTATTACTGAATACTTTGAAAATTCACATATATATCAGTTATTCATCACTACAATAATGTTAAAGACCACAACAACTTAAACATGAAAGGTAATAAATATGTATGAAGCATATGAGTCTATAGGTCAGAAATTTAGGCTGGGCTTGGCTGGAAATCTCTGCAACTGGCCAAGCTTGCTCCTGTCTTTAATAGTGAGTTGTTGTGTGTCCCGTCTTCACTAGGTACATTGGGAATAATTAGCTTTTCCCTGCATGTTCCTCATCCTCCAGCAAACTTCCTGGTCATGCAGTCATGCTGCCATGGTAATGGCAGAGGGAGGAGTACACGGGTGTTTATCAAGACCTTGCATTGATTACATCTTCTATCACCCCATTAGCCTAAAAAAGAAATTCCTACGCCAAGCCCCAAGACAGAGTGAGAAGACACTGCAGTTCCCTGGTAATAGGTGTGGTTCCAGGGGAGTATGGTGGATTTGGCCCTTTATAAAATTGTTTTCCATGGTGTAGAACATATTTGCAGTTTTTCTTTTTCATTTTAGATGCTATTCCAGGTTCCTGAGCGGGCGTTGCCATCAGTACACTGATTGTTCCAGTACATGTGTGAACCCAATAAACCTAGGAAGAAAGGCAAGTCTTATTCCTCTTCATAATTCACACTCTAGGGACAAATCAAAAAAAATATCATATCCAAATGGAGGAACGTTATGGAAGAAGCATCTATTTGGATGCAGCTGGACAAGTCTGATATAGCTGGAGAAAATTTCTGTTGGCCTTGGCTGACATGTATTCATTTCAGAACCAAAAATTGAAAAGAGCATCTGGTATTTTACAATGAGTCTTTGTTAACAGTTTATTTTTAAGCTTGCATTTTATCATCCAACACAAAGTTAATTTCATACAAAACTAATTCCATGAGAGCATGATGGATAAATGCTCATTGAGTAACTGAATGCTGGATTTAATCAATTGATATTTGAATTATGTGCTACAACAAATTAATAATAGAAATTTCTCTGCCTTCTAATTCATCATGACAGAAATAGACTATGTATGTTTTTCCATTTCTCCCCATCACCAGACAAATTGTTATGGACAGAAAAACAATTTAAGGGATGTCAGCTATTTACTTACAAATATATGTCTTATCTGGGAAGTTTAACCAAAATAATAAATTTTTGAGGAGAGTATTAGATGAAGAATTAGCAGATAAAAAGTAGAAGATTATTAGTGGCAGAGAGAATTACATCTATTCTAAAATTGCCCATTGAGATAGTAAAATAATAATGTTACATAACGAGAAGTTACACATTAATATATTTTGTTTCAATGTTACTGAAAACATTTTAAGTTGTATTACATGACAGGATTACTGTATAATAACGTTTTTTAAAAAACCTATTTGTACCTTTGATTGTAGGATGTGATGGGTACGTGTGTGTATTCCCAAAGACACAGGAGGCTGAGGCAGGAGAATTGCAAGTTTGATGCCAGATTCATCAACTTAACAAGACCCTAAGTAACTTAGTGAGACCTTGTCTCAAAATAAAAAATAAGAAAGATTGGTGAAGTATCTCAGTGATAAAATGCCCCTGTGTAATCAATCCCTTGTATCAGATAAACAAACAAACAAACAAATAAGATTATTGTATCATAAAAGGCATGAAATTTTGATATGCTATAACATAGATGAACCTTGAAAACATTATACAAATTGAAAGAAAACAGTCATGAAACTTAAGTCATATGAATATATATTCAGAACTGAAAAATCTACATAGATAGAAAGATTAGGGTTTTTCTGGAACTGGTTTGGGATAAGAATACAGAACAGGAATAGGAAATGTTAATGCTAACAGGTAATGTTTCTTTAAAGAATTTGTTATAAAATAGATTTTGTTGAAGTCTGTACAACTCTGTGAATGTACTAAAAAGTCATTGAATTGTACACTTAACAACTTTGTGTGTGTGTATGTGTGTGTGTGTGTGTGTGTGTATTAGTGGGGACTGAGCCCCAAGGCACTCTATCATTGAGTCATATCTCTATCCTTTTTTAAAAAATATTATTTTGATGCAGGGTATTGATACATGGCCCAGGCTGGTCTCAAAATTGTGATTCTCCTGCTTGAGCCTCTTGAGGAGTGGGAATTTCAGGAGTGCATCTGGCTTGAGCTGAACACTTTGAATAGGTAAATTTTACTGTATGCGAACTATATCTTGATCAAGTTGTAAAAAATGTAAAGTTGAAAATCTATCAGTGATGCTTACGGGAAAAACATGCATGAAGACTATATAAAGAGTATTCATTGTTTGCCTCAAATCAGTCAAAATTATTTTACTAAAATTATACAAATGACTCAAAAGGAGTTACAACATCACTTAGATTTCAGTAAACTGGGCTAAAAATTATTTTATCATTAGTGCAATAAAAATAAAATGCATGGAAACATATGAGTTCCTTACTGGGTTTAAAGAAAACAGAGAGAGAGCCAAAGGAAAAGCAGGATTTCATGGAAATATAATGGAGACATGAAGGTAAATTCCAGGGAAGGAAGTGAAAGGATTTGAAAGAAAGAAAAAGATATATATAATAGTGAAAAGAGGCTGAACAGCAAAATGAAAGTTTTAGAAAAAGTTCTAATTTGAAGGCTCAAGTTCTGTGATGTTCTTCATTGATGAGAGACAGGTAAGAAATTGAATGACTGCAGTATATCTTCTTATTTTTTTTTCAGTCTTTTTGTGACAGAACAAGATATGTCTATATTCACAAAATATGTGGAAGAAAAATAAATAAGATGTTCCCTATCACTATTCCTCTCTCTTTAAATAATTGGAACTCAATCATATTACATGTATTTAGAATCACAGAATCTAACTAGCCTAGGAAAACTTCAAACATATTCTCAAAGCATAGATTCATTTTTCTTTATTTTTTAACTCTTCTTCAAGGTTCTCCAGCCTGTCTCTGTGATTGTCTAAAACAAATGAGATGCTGTTAAAAGTCAATGTGGGTGCTCAGGTAGCCGATTAGAGCAAGACACATCAGAGCAAACACATTGATCTCCAAAACCAAAAGACAGCATTACAGAGAGTTCACCCTCAGGATCTGCTTCAGTTGGCCTGAGAACGCTCAAAGATTCTGGAATAAGAATTGATCTGTATCATATATCCCAGTCACTTTTGTTGAAATCACATGCTCATATCACAGACAACATTCATATCGAATCACTTATTTCTTCTCTGTCAAGCAACAGCTTAACCTTGGGCTGACTTCTTAGCTTACAAGCTACACAAAGTTATTATGTGACCAAAAAGAGCTGAAGTACATGGGAGAAAAGCAGACAAGGAAGGCCACCGAGTTCAATCAGAGCCAAAGAAACCAAATGACAGTTCATAGTGTTTTCTCTCAAAGGTAAAATCTCACAACTGTAGTCATCCCTTGGTGTTATGAGCTTCAGACTGCACTTTAGGAAAGAAAACAAAGTGAGTTAGAAATAAAATATTTAAAGTATATTATATGAGCATTTGGTGACAATGACAAATCAATCTAATAAAAATTTGTCCTTGTTCAAAACATATGATGTGATCAGCATTATGAAGAACCCCTGAGGTCAGTGTGGGTCATTGTTACATGGCCTGAGAAATTCATTCTGGAAAGTTCTCAGGCACAAAGTGAGCCCAGTCCTTTGGAATGTGTACTGTTAGCTCTATTAGTGCTCTTTCCTCTCTCTTTTACTCTTGGGATTGACTATTCCCAGATATGACATGATCAGTTTGGGGAATGTTCTTATCTTACTTCTATATTGCCAGAACATAGATTATTTTTAAAAATCCACATATTACCTCAACTTTCAAATGATAATAGCTATGTGTTTATGTTTAATGGTAAGAACTAGCTGTAAATATTAGATGACAACATATAACAACAACAAAAAAAAACAGGAAGAGACAGGCTCAGTAGTGAAGTTATATAATGATTCAAATTAATCTTTCCTCAGTTTATACAGTATAAGAATCCAATATGATGCAGTGGGAGAGCATATCTTCATTGTATCTCACCAAATGTGTTTTTGTTATTGAAGTCCTTTTCAGTGAGGCTTTCTGATATACAAAAGCTACAGAAATATTCTCAGAATACACTATCTCGGCTCTGGAAAGACTCTGTAGATTTACATTGACATGGTTTTGCTCATATGGAACATAGATTAGAAAGTGGAACATGACTTTAAAGTGTAGTATTACTGAACTCTAATAAGGACTGAAAAATAGGAAAAATAAATATGTTACCTTTGTGTCACTCTGACCAAAATACATAACAAGAACAACTTAGTGAGAAAGTTTATTGTGGCTAATGGTTTTAGAGACTTAGTCCATGATGGGCCAACTCTATTAGTCTGGGCCCAAGGTGAGGCAGAATATCATGTAGAATGTCATTGTCTACAGGGAAACTGCTCCATTCATGGTGACCAGAAAGCACTGACAAAATGGAGAAGAGGAAGCAGGAAAGATGCATCTTTCTAGGGCACAACCTCAGGGACTCACCTCCTACGGCCATGCCGCATCTGCCTTCAGTTACCACCCAGTTAGCCCATTCAAACTAGGATTGGATTTATAATCCAATCATTTTACCCCTGACTATTCCTCCAGTAACAGAAATTTCAGAGGGACACCTCATGTCCAAGCCAAAACAATATATATCACATGAAATAACAAAGAAAAAAATCAAAATAAAAACTTAGATATAGATGAGATACAAAGGGAACGTTGGCATAAGAAGAGTGAAGAAAGAGACTAAAAATGTTCAGGATACTTTAAAAATAAAATAAAGTTACTAATAAAATCCTTTCAAAGAGTGTATATAAATTTTTTAGAAATCAACAAGGAAAACTAGAAATCAGAATTGGTAAGTAAAAACTGCCCTCACATTAAGAAAGAGAGAGATGCATGAAAAGAGTATGTAAATCATATCATCTTAATTAATTTCTACATTGGCAGGGTAGAAGCAGTAACTAATTAAAATATTCTGAAATAAGATACTTTACAGATTGCACCAACATTTTTAGAAATAAAGGGAAATATTAGAGAAAGGTGAAAGTTTTAGACTACTTTAGGAAGAAAAAGATTTATTGGAAATAGAATCTTGGGATTTTAAAAATTTTCATTGTGCATGTCGCTTTCAAAAATAGTTTTATGAAAGTCAAATAAAACTTATAATAGATATTATAAAATAATATAATATACTTCAATATATAACATAAAACTATTATTTGGATAGCATTTCTCCATACTTTCATTTTTATTTCTTTAAGATTCTTAATTACAAATTCAATTGACAGAAAACCATTCAATTTTTAAAGTTTCTTTTGTGTCTCTTTCTCTCTCTTTTTTGCTTATTATAGTTATATATAATATTAGGGCTCAGTTTGACATATGCAAGCATGAAATATAATTAGCTCCAGTTCAGTTTCCAGTACTTTCCCTTTTCCTCTCCTCCTCCCTCCCTCTATTCCCTTTCCTCTACTCTACCAATCTTTTTTCTATTTATTTATAATTCTGATTTTTTAAATGACAGTATGAGAGAATTTAGATATTTTAAATTTAGGAGTAAATCTTGGATCTAAATCCAGATTTCAGATGGAAAAGCAGTTACCAACACAGCCACCTGAGATATCTGCCAAGAAGCCAGGTGCTTTGTGGGAATCTCTTCCATAGCTTAGCATCTGGGTTTTCTAAGTTGTTACCAAGGGAGGAAAAGGGAAAAAAAATCTGCCACAGTGTGCAGTGCTGAGGTTACTGGCCTCTTCAGAACAATAATATAAAAATGTTTTCTTTTCAACAATGAGACTTACAAAATGGGAATAGAAATCCAAAGGTAACAAAATACTGTACGCACTAAAATGTCTTTTCTGCATTATTTTTAATTTATGTTAAGACTGTATTAGCTTCAGAGTGTTTATCTATGTCCCCAAGAGAGGATTAGCTGGGAACATTCTTTGAGATAAACTAAAAGAACTATTTGGTGCTGGCACTGTTAAATTTTTCTGATGTGCAGGTGTTTGTAGTATTTGTACAGTTGCCTGATTGGTTTTCATCCAGGTAAATCCACAGAGAATAAGGTTTATCGTTTCAGGATAGAGAGGTGCAGAGGCTATTATGGAATATATGAAAACCTGCCACTATCCACTTCCACGCTGTTTCCTGAAAGGTTTCATGTTCTGACTTTGAGAATATAAGCAAGTCTTCACTTCCTCACTAAATGTTTTTTTGCTGAACTTTGCTGGATCTCATCTATCTTACTTTCTTCCTACATCTTTCATAATCAACTCTGTGTTCATAACTCTTCACCAGCTTCCCAAATAAGAATATATATTAATAAAAATAGTATAATGTAACAAAAACTTTCTATCTTTATATATCTTTCTAACTGTACTGGAAAAAGTTATTTATTCAATTAATCCATTAATAAAACATCATGAAACTTTGAAAATTTCCAGGCAATATTCTGAGTGCAGGGAACAGAAAAAGAGATCAAAGCAAAGGATCTCTGCCTTCATGTAGTTTATGATTTGATGAGGAGACAGATGATAAATGGGTATTATCAGAATTTTAGCCACAATTCCAAAATGTACCAAATATTGCATTCCATAGGATGCACTTGAACACAAGCTGAATTAGTAAATGATTTGGCCATATGTTGACACACAGTGGGTATATAAAACTAAAATTTCATGAGCTCATACCACCTACTAGCCTCAGTATTCCATTATGACTATACTATGGTTAATCAGTCATTCTCTTAAGAGACAGTATTTTTTTTTCTAAATTTTGCTTTTACAATGATATTTCAAAGAATTTTCTTATGAATGTTCTTTGTGCATGCATGTGAATATTTTTTTAGGACATACACCTAGAAATGGAATTGCTGAGTGATAATGAATGCACACCTTCAATTTAGCTTCATGTTGCCAAATCTTTCTCCAATGTGATCATACCAATTTATATTTATACTAGCAGTGTATAAATAAATATTTCAAAAGTTAAATTTTGTCAAAATCTGATGAGTTTCAAATGGTTATCTGTCTGTTGTTTTGTTTTGCATTTTCCTGACTACTCATGAGTAAAAAAAAAAAATTCTTTATTAAAAAAATAAAGCAAGTGATTTACCAAGCTACTTCTTCCTTGTGAAACCTTTCATCCACAGTGGCATTGAAGATTGGGGAAAAAAATTATTAGGAGGTATTCTTTGAATGAGGCTACATTAAGAGTCCCTAAACAAAACAAAACAAAACAAAAAAAAAAAAAACAAAAAGCAGGGGATTGAGCATGCCTGCAATTTTTCTCAGTCACTTGGAAAAAAATGTCAGGATTTTTTTAGAAGGTACCAACCCTGTGCTTACATACCTCTGTCCCACTTGCCTCTCAACCACACCCCAACCTGGCAAGAAACATTCTCAGATGAGGCCATTGAAGAACAAACAAAAGATTTAGAAAAGATTCAGATTTAAACATCTACTAAACTATCTTAGTCCATTTGTTGTTACTACAACAGAATATCTGAAACTGGATGATTTACAAAGAAAAAATTTTCTACTGAAGCCAAACATAATATGGTGAAGGACATCACATAGTAACAGAACAAGTATCCTACCTTGGTTCTCTCCTATTACCAAGTCACTAATGCCATCATGGGACTCCTATTTTCATGACCTCTTTTGATCATAGTTACCTCCCAAGGACCCCATCTCCAAATACCACCAGTATGTGGATTTTAGGATTAATTTTTCAAAGTATGAACTTCAGGGAGACACATGAAATCCCACCACAGGTCCAGAAGGACTGATGTTCTCTTATTCTAGTTCCACTCAATAAGACTGTACTGCCTCATTGTCTTTCATCCTCCCTCCTTTTCCAACACAAACATCAGCCCCTTTCTTGTTGGGATAAGAAGTTGCAGGTGGTAATTGGAATAGGGAGTGAAGGTTGCCTGTAAGCACTAAGTTGAGTCTGAATTTTTGCTTTCCATGATCACAGGTCAATTTTAATATTGAGAGCTACAGTCATATTTTTGTTTTGTACAGTAGTGAGGTAAAAACTAGCTAAATGAATAACCCAAAGGAACAGTGAAAAATACAGATGTTTTATTCCTATTTGGTATACCAGTTATATGAGCAATTAGACATATTTATAATTACCAATCAAGACACACATTTTGTAGAAAGCAAGCATGGTGCTTAGCTAGGTAAGTAACAGTGGAGGCTACTTTAGAGAGGCTGGCCAAATGAAGCATGCATGGGCATCTCTAAGCATCTCAAGAGAATGAGACAGGAAAAATCACAGGGAAAGTCCCTTCAGCACCAGAATATATGTTCCTTCAAGATTCAGAAACTCACTAGAGTGTATCCACTTGAGTGTAGGAGAGATTAGAAAAGAGAGCAAGGACCAAATCAGGTAGGCTATCACAAGAACTTTTTTTTTCTATTTTATGAAGGTCCATTTAAGAACATTGAAAATAGGAGTGGCCTTGTTGGATTTTACCACAGAAATCCTAGACAATGCAATAAAATAAGAAAAATAATTAAAATGCATGAGGAATTGAGAGAATAAAGTGAACTGTCTCTATTTGGCCAAGACAGAATATCTTGAGGAATCCTCAGCATAACCACTATAGAGAACTAATAAGTGAATTTTGCAATGTGTCAGATAAAAATATTTATTAAAAGGTAACTTTTGTTTTATGCATTTTGTTTTTATGCAAAGACAATTGAAAAATAAAATTAACAAAAGAATTTTATTTAAAATAGCCGCATAAAATGTAAATGCTTAGAAATAAAATAAAAAGAAATATTTGGAAGACCTCTACCATAAGAAACAGGAATCCTCACTGAGAAGAATTAAAGAAGACCTAAATAAATGGTGCTACTGTTACAATAAAGAATTGGCAGGTTCAATAAGTGAACATATCCATTCGTTGTGGATGCACAGGTGAAAAGGATAAACTTAACACATGCGTGCAAGCACTCTCTCTCTCTCTCTCTCACACACACACACACACACACACACACACACACACACACACACACACACACGAGGTTCAGCCTATTGGTGTAGTATTTGTTCTCTTGTTTCTAGACTACTACATAGCTCTTAAGGCCCCCAAATAGTCTACTTACATTCTAGAAAAACATCTAAAACTCTTCACCCCAGGTGGAAACATAAGTCAAATGCAATAAAGTGAATTCTGTTTTCTATTCTTTAGTGTTTTGAACACAGTTTCATTTATTTGAATTTGCAATTAAAGTAGGGAAGAAAGTTATTAAAGCATAATTAAAAGGTAATAAGTTTTCCTGTTGCTGTTATTCTAAGAACCTTATGATGATGAATTACTTACCTTTAGTTTCATTATAGACGGAAGCTGCGTTCATTTCCAACTTTTGTTTAAAAATCTAAAGTAGAAGGAAATGTTTGCTTACATCTGTGAATGAAAAAAAAAATGAAACCAGGTTTAATAGAAATTAAAATAAGAGAGAATCAAAGGAAAATGATTTACCAAAACTTATTATTTATTTACAATAGGTTTAAGCCTTAGTATTATATAAATTATATATATCAGTAAAGGGCCTTTCGGCTTCTCTCCAGGACCTTTGGCACATCTATACATTTGAATAAATTTTCAAGGCTTTTTTTTTTCTGATGAGTTCTTTCATTACAAATTAAATACTTATTGTAAGCAAGTAATATTTTATGTAGTTATATTTCTTCATTTCAAAAGCATGTGTATGCCTTGATTCATTTTAGACAATCCCAATTTGTAGGGTGTTACAGCTTTTGTTAATGTGTAATTATGTGCCATTAAAATAATAACAGCTGTCACTCATTCAATACCTCCCCTACCTGATGCTGTGCTAAGTACATTACCTACATTATCTCAATTAATCCTCACAACAGGCCTAGGAAGTAGGACAATAATTAATCCCCATTTTACAGATGAGAATTTAGAAGCTCAGAGAAATTAAGAAACATAATCAAAGTCTCACTGTTAATAATACTGAAACAGTATTTTAATTAAGTCCTTCCTGACCTTACAGGCTGTATTTAAAAGCCAAACTACACTGGTGCTTGATTCCCTTAACTCGATACATGATGTTCGTGCATAACTAATGTCATCTGCAAAGGGTATGGCACCAAAAAACACAAAGAGAAATGATCCGTAGCTTTGCCCTGGCTCTTCTCTTAACCCAGGAGCTGTCGAGCTGAATGGCACTAAGCAATATAAATACTGAAATTACCTAGATGTAAACATAACTTGTCACTAGGCTTCAGTGACATCCAATTTCCAGTTGTATTTTACCTTAAACTTTGCTCATAAAGATCCCATTACCAGAAATGTCAGGTTGATTATGCATTTATTTCTTCTTCCTATCAAAACCCTGCTAAAAGAACAGTAATATGGTTAAAATGGTATCAATCTACAAGGACAATCAGACAGGAGGAGAAGCAACGGAAAAGGGTGCTTTGAAAATGGAAGGGGGGAAATGGCTTTTTAAAAAATTATGAAATTAAAAAAAAACGATGTACAAAATTATGTTTGGAATAAAAATCCAAAGAAATATCACAGAGCATACAACAAAAAGACAGAACTGTGGAATTCATAAAAGGGAATAAGAATTTCGCACTATCTGTAGAGTTATACCTGTAGAAAGAGAATAGAGAAAATAAAGGAAGGAGAATCATCACATATAATGTACAATAGACAATTTTAAAACTGAAGGATACAAACCTGCAGACTGAAAGTGTTATTTGAGTGTCCAATAACGCACAAAGGATAGATCCAAAATACATGGTTTTAAAACCTCAGAATGCTATGGACTAAAAAAAATGCCCCTGAAAAAATGAAAGAAAGTTCTTCAAGAGAATCAGGAAGCAAAATTATGTTAGTCCCCCAATAGCAACTATGGATCAGAAAAGAAAATGTAGCCGTATCTTCAATATTTTAAAAGAAAAAATATTTTTAACCTGAAATCCTATATAAAACATCATTCAATTGTGAGGGTTGTTATAGTTTTGACATTAAATATTTCCTAAAGGCTCATGGGTTGCAGACTTGGTCTCTGGTGTGACAAGGTGTAACTTAGTGGGAGATCCCTAGGTCATGGGGGTATATGTCCCTTAAGGGGATTTAGGAACCATGAACTCTTCCTCTTTTTATTTTCCTCTTTTTTACCCTGGCTATGAATTTAGTTGCTTTGTTCTGCCATGTGCTCCCACTGTGATATGCTGACCCCCAATAAAATTAAGAGATCGTGAATTGAAACCTCTGAATCCATCAGACAAAATATAGCTTTTCTCTTTATAAGATGATTATTTTATGTATTTGTTATAGAAAGAGAAAGATGACTAGAACAAAGTTCAAATACAGATATTTGCAATGATACCAAGTATATCATATCACTGTATGCTATGGGAAAATGCTAACAAATATGATATTCCTTAATATGTAATATGCATACAGGATACAGGTATATTAACATTATATTTTTTGTTATGGCCAGGCATGGTGGCACATGCCTGTAATCCCAGAGGCTCAGGATACTGAGGCAGGAAGATTGTGAGTTCAAAGTCAACCTCAGGAATGGCGAGGTGCTAAGCAATTCAGTGAGACTCTGTCTCTAAATAAAATACAAAATAGGACTGGGAATATGGCTCAGTGGTTGAGTGCCCCTGTGTTCAATCCTCAGACCCCCCCCCCAAAAATATTATATTATATTTATTGGTATCTATGAATGCTACTAGGCATGCTCCTTCTTTCTGTAGTCTTTCAGGGAAGTGGGCTAAGGAGGCCCTGCCACATTCAACAAATACACAAAAGGGGAAAGAATATGGAAAACTAAACATGGGAAGTTTACACAAGCAAAACCTAAAAGTAGTATAGATCATTTTTGTAGAATCCATGGTGGTAATTACATAGATTTATAACCAGAAACCTAAAAAGAAAAGAAAGTGGACTTTTGTGGCAGCTCATGGTCTTTGCTGTACAATAATTCCAAAGTACAATTCAAGGTTCCTTTTTTAGACAACTGTTGGAGGACATGCTTCTGCAAAAGGATGGATTAACCAAGAAAGAAGAAGCCATAAGATCTAAGACACAGGAGTTGTAAGATAGACTAATGAAGACAAGTCTGAGTCAGACAGCAAACAGACCAACTTGGAGCTTGAGGAACAAGACATATTTCAGTCAACCCAATCACTGTGAATTCTGTCTATAAACATGATGAGGGTGGGAGTATGGGCACCAGTTTTTAGGAAATAATTGTTTTCTTGCTACACAGAGCAATTTCAAAACTGGCCATTGTCCTTTCATGGTCTTTAAGGTACAGAGGGGCAGTTTTCCGCTTTTCCAAACTTATTTTGGAAGGTGTACTTCCTTTTGGTGCCTGAGCTCTCCTATTTTACTGCACACCCTGGGTGGGGCACTACATTCTTTTTTTTTTTTTTTTTTGCCAGTACCCCACATACATTCTAAGAAGCTGAGAAAACTAGATTTCACTCAGCATCATCCACAAGATACAGGTTCTGCTTTCCATGGGAAGGTCTCACTTTAATACACCTTTGAGTTTGGACTCTGAGAATTGTTTCCTTGTTAGTAATATCCTTGATGTACTTTTAGTAGTTGAAGAATCATTTTCAGGGAAACAAAGATCATCCAAGGTCTTTAATTGCCATTCTTAAGGAAATGTGACAGGTATTGCTCTTTTTATTTCATCTTTCAACACTATTTGGTTATTTCTCTATGTGGTTATGTATTAATAATATATTTCATTATTAGTTATTTGTTTGCTAGCTCCAGATCCACAACCTAACTAGAAACTGAGTCTCCAATATTTGCCCAAAGTCATTGCTGAAAAAAAAAGAATAGTAACTATGACTATACTAGTTTACCCTTGGTGTTTCCAAGTGAAACAGAAAAATGGATTTTAAAAAAAAACTTTAATCAATCATGAAGACTAACATCACCCAAATAATTTCCTCCCAACCTCCAATAGTCTCTTCACACAGTTTACCTCATTGTTCTATTTGGAGTGGGCAACTGACCACATGAACTAATCTCTGCCTGAAATTCATTAGCTGTCTCTTAAAATAAGTCACCGGATAATTTTTTTTTCTGGAAATTTGAAACTGGGGGAAAGGGATCCTAATTGCTTGAAGCTGAGTTCTGGGATTGTGAGCTCAGAAAGCAAGATCAGCCATTTCTCCTTATGTAGGCAAGATACATATGAATGCTTCAGTGATGAGACCATTTGGTCACAGAAGAGGCAGAGTTCCTGATGACTTTAAAGTGAATCAAATACATCTGAGGACCAGATGTACTTACTTCAGTTCTGTGTGTAAGATGATTATCTCTCAAGTCAGACCTAAAATCCTGGCTGCACCAGCAATATGATCTTGCCATGTGATTTATGCTCCACTTTTTTGTATAAAATTAGAATGATAATAACTCCCTCCTTATAGGTTGCTGTGAGTGTGGTAGATGTTCACATAGTTTAGTCCTTGTTCTTTTTCGCTTTCTGCCTAAACCTGGGTCCTCAAATAAAGAAGACATTTGAGACATAGCCATAAAGTAGATCCAATGCTGACCCTCTGTTGATTATAATGTGAGCAAGAAAAGAAAAATAAAAACTACGTTGTGATCAGTCACTAGAATTTAGGAATCATTTGGTAAAATATCATAATCTCACAAAATCTAACCATACAGAACTTGATAACCAGAAGCAGGAAGGTTATATAAACAAACATCTAAAAAATGTGGCATTATTTTCCAGACCAGGCAGTGAGAGGCAAGGAAGTGGTTTTGAAGGATGGAAAAGTGGTGATTCATGTTGATTCATGTTATTCAGTAGCAAACATTTGAAGCATTTAGTAAAAATATTGCCTGTTATAATTCTAAAGGCATATAATGTAACAAACACTTTTCCTTTAGATAAAATATGGGATATGTGAATATGGATAGCATCTATTAGATGAACGTGGGTGTTTTTGACAAAATGAAACAAGAAATAGGTAAGCTCAAAAAGTATTGACCAGCTTACAAACAGAATTGGAAGATGATATAGAAAACTCACAAGTTCTGCAACTTGCAAAGTATAAACATATTTTTATTTAATAGGTAAAACATAAAATTGAGTGATGTATTTTTATGGCAAAACTTGATTCAGAAAAACTCATAGCAAGAAACAAAATATTGGTGTGTGTTAGAGTCTGTAAACAAGTCATGATGGCACCTGGTATTTTGCCATAGAAATGTTAGAGTTCGTAAACAAGTCTGGATAGTGCCTGGCAAAATGCCAGAGGGAGTGGTTTGAGAAGTAACAAAAGCGAGCCATTAAGTGTGGAGATTCCTTATTGGTTGACTGATGTAACTAGTTTATGCTAATTAAGATAAGCTGTGCAAAATGTATAAATACCTCTGTTGTCCTACAATAAATGGCTCCTACTCCTGCTGTATCAATCTACACAAATTGTTCATCACCCCCCGGTTATTCTGCTGCAGCTGGACTGCGGCAGGTGTGGTTAACAAACTTTCTGTTAGAGTTTCTGAATTCAGGTAACATCCAATAAATCCTTTTATATAAAATAAGCTCTGGGCAAAGTGTTTAAGGATGTGGCTTAGCTATAAAACCTAATAAATATCTAGAAAATTTAAAAATGTTCCTGTGGCCAATAGCCATGGAAGTGACTGGAATCAATAGATAAAAATCAGACAATATTTTTAGGAGATTTACATGCCAAAAGAACTGTTTGCCTGGATTGTGTTTTGAATGGTAATATTTATTGTGCTCCATTTCTTACCAGTGTATATTGAGTTTGGGTGTGGCAGATAACTTCTGGTTTTGGTTCATAGGTTTCTGAATCAAGAGGACTATCATTGAAAGGACAGATGGGAAAGAAGCACCAGAAATCAGAATAGGGAGGGAATGAAGAGGTGCTGGGGGGATGATATTGGCCAATTCTATTGTTAAACTGTGTGCATGTATGAATATGTAACAACAAAACCCCATCAATATGTACAACTAATAATGTACCAATAAAAATATGAAAAAATATCAAATATTATGATGAAGAAGTATTGAAACATATTATTTTCAGATATCTTTTGCTCTTATATAGAATGATAGATCCACATTTGTTGACATTTGATGTTCAGTGCCATGTTAGTCAGCTTTGCGTCACTGTGACCAAAATACCTGACAAGGACAACTTAGAGGAGGAAAGATTCAGCCTGTTGTTAACTGGTTCCATTGCTGTGGGCCCAAGTTGAGGCAGAACATCAGGGTGCAATGACATGGTAGAGCAAAGTTACCTGGATCATGGCAGTTGAGAAACAGAGGGGCTGGGGAGCCAGACAGGAGATACAGTCCAAGATCACACCCTAGTGATCTACTTCTTCTAACCACACCCACCTGCTACAGTTATCATCCAGTAGTTCCTTCAAATTATTAATCCATCAAATGAATTGGTCTACTGATGAAGTTACAACTCTTATCATCTACTCATTTCATATCTGAAGATTCCTGCATCACCTAACTTGTGAGCTCTTCAGAGGACACCTCATATCCAAAACATAGCAAGTAGCACCTTGGGAAGAACTCATTTACCCACTCCATCGACTGCTGTGGCTTGGTCATGGGACTTGCTCAGTTCAATGTACCATGACTAAGAGGAAGTTTTAGGAACCATTTCATGGCTGGACTATTTCTCCTTTTTCTCTGCCCTGAAACTAAAATAAGGCTACTGCTTCAGTTATGTGCCTTAAAAAATGATATAAAGCAAATCTTAAGTCAATATATAACCAGAATGTAATAGGAGCAAGAACTAAATCTTTGATGTGGTAAGCCACTGAGATTTGGAACTATGTGTTACTATAATAGAATCTACCAAAACTGGCTAATATACCAATAATTTAATTATTGGAGTGCTTAGAATAGTTCTATTATTGCTCTTTAGATTTCCCTTTACTATTTCAGTAAACTTCTTTTTGCTTCAATTACCTGTGTTCTTTGAAAATGAACACTTTCCATACATGATCAAAATATTCTTCTAAAATAAAATTAGCTGATAACTTTTCACAAGTTACTCTGTGATCCAAAATATCATAAACAATTGACTGAATGTAATTATAAGCATATCATCATGATAGAAAACATTACATGTAGTCTTTCAAACCAAGCCTATTGTTTCTTATGGGATGAGTTCCAATAAGCAAATAGCTGCCTAACATCAACTTCTGATTTAGCAAATGATAGAAGATCTTTACAGTTGTAAAGCTTTAGCTTTCTTTTAGTTCTTTTTTAATTTTAAAATCAATGGAATGAATATCAATGGAAAAAAATAATAATAAGATGTGGGCAAGTTGACAAAAAGTTTGACCAAAGCTTAATTTGAAGTCATAGAAAGTCTGTTTAAATTGCCTACTTAATTATCATTGCAGTTGTTAATGATTCCAATATATTCATAAAAATCTGTTCAATTTTTCCAATAAAAATATTATCTTATAATTAAAATAGTTTAATATCTGAATTTTTAACATTAAGTTT